CGATTCCTACATAACTTGCGAGGGAATCCTGCTCGAAAGTGTGACTTTTGAGTAAATTATGAGGCGGTCTCAGGCGGGAGCCGTTGTTGTTGCTGCTGCTGTTGTTCTTCCTGGTGCATTCTCATATTTAAGATATTATTTGTATTGATCCCCCCCTTCCGGTAACCACTGTTTTCTAGATTAAAATGCTCCTCCAGGTGCCCGCTTTTTCTTCCTAGGGAAATCGAGGCGTCACCAAGCTGAGCACCTAAGCCCCGAGTTACCAAAATAGGCATTGGGCACCTAGGTTTGGGCACTTGCGGTCGGGACCAGCTCATGCGTGTTCCCAGGGACGTGCCGGATGACATGGCGGCGGTGCTGGAGGTCTCGTGAGCGGAGCACATGAGCATCGAGGTGCTGATAGATCGTCTGATGGAGGCAGGATTGCGGCAAAGGCGAAGGACACCCCAGGAGGAAGGCGAGGCACTCGTGAGCGTGGGCGTTCCGCCAGGAGCCTCCAGCTCCGCCGGGCCAGCAGGCAGCCAGGCCCCAGGGACGCCATGCTCGGTGGCATCGAGCGCATCATGAAGGAGGCGCATGCGAGTGCTTGCGCCAGGGGGTCTCAAGAACAAGAACGAGCTGGTGGACTACGTTCGCAACCATGAGGCGCCGACGGACGCCAACCCGGAGCTGATGATGATGCCTGCGCTGTAGGACGCGGCTTGCGCGTACGACGACGCGCTGATCGTGCGAGCTCGAATGGGCTCGTTAGGCGCGGCAGCCAGCAGCAGTGCGCCACGACCTCCACCTTTTGATCATCGAGCGCGACCTGTGGTTCGGGGACGTTCGGCGTTGTCGAGATGGCTGTTCGTCGCCGCTATGCTCGGCATGGTGATACCGTTGGAGACCCTCTACGAGTTAGGTCGACATGACCCGGAAGGTGGAGACGATGAAGAACGGCACCAAAATTCTGGTGAAGGACCAGCTGCAGTCCCCGCGGCGCGACCTGGAGGCGGTCAACATTAAGCCCGAGGCCTACCCTATAGAGTTCGGAGCAGGCTTCGACTCGCGCGAGGCCGAGTGCGAGGCAGTGGCCAGTGAGAAGAGCGAGAACCAGCCGTGGATCACGGAGGTGTTCACTACGAAATAGGCGGTGCGCAAGGAGGCGGCTAGGCAGGGAGTCCCTACCATGAGGAGCTAGTCATTGGAGTTCGGCGACGATCGACGGTCGCCCGAACAGGGCCGAGTGGTGTTGCAATTCATTGCGACGAAGAAGCCACAGTTGGTGCTGATGGCTTTCCCCTGCGTGTCCTGGGGTAACCTAACCTACTTCCAGAAGGATCAAGTGAATGTTCGAGAGCGACAAGATCGGGATCGACCCTTTCTCCGTTTCGTGAAGGAGGTGTCGAAGGTCGTACCGTGTTATGGAGGCGCCTGGATGATCGAGATCCCGAAATGGTTTCGCGAGAATTTTGACAGCTCATCCAGCAAGGCTACGCCGCGGAGGCGGACCAGCTCATGTACAGGCTCACCTCAGAACGTGAAGGAGCACATCGGAAGCCTACGAGGTTTCTGGCGTCGCGCGAGGAGCTGCTCGTGGATCTCGACCGGCAGTGCGACAAATGCACGTCTGAGCTGGCGAGGAGCATCGTGAAGGGCATGCTGAATCTCTTCGGGTCGAAGGAGGTGCTCACTGTGGATGAGGTCTCTTAGGCAGATCCCGAGGAGGTGGACGACGCGGAATTCGTGGAATACCCGGCCAACGAGGACCCCCTGGAGGGTACGCCGGACTTGAAGAAGGTACAGGTATCGAAGGAGGCGAAGAACGCGGTGCTGCGCATTCACCAGAAACTTTCGACACCTTTCGAAGGATCAGCTAGTGCGAGCGCTTCGCGCTTGTGGAGCCAGCGACGAGGCGATAGCGGCGGCGGTGCAGTTGCAGCGCCCGGTGCGCCATGGGATGAACAGGCCCGCCGTTGGACACGCCAGGTTTCCGGCGAGGTTCAAGAAGGCGAAGGAGTTCGGCGAGCAGATCGCGATCGACCTGTCCACGGTGCAGACGAACTCGGGCGCGGCGCTGGAGATGCTCAACATCGTGGACGTCAAGACGGGCTCCCAGGTGGTTGCGCCCATCGAGAGCAAATTCCCCGGCGTCGTGGCCCAAGCGCTGGAGCTGGTCTGGTTCAGCTGGGCTGGGGTACCCTTGGTTCAGCTGGGCTTGGATGCCCAACTCGCCGGCGCGCCGCAGCGGCGGCGAGTTCTACCAGGAGGTGTTCCGCCTACTGGAAGGCCGCGGCGCACAGATGCGGTTCGCTGCAGCGGAGGCGCCGCGGCAGAACGGCATGCGCGAGCGCGCCGGGGGCGAGCGGAAGGCACTCTGGAAGGCGATCGGGGGCCCCCAAACGGGGCGGTGACCACGCCGCCCGGCGGGTCGGTGAGTCGGTTGGGATTCGGGGTCGCCGCGCGGTATTGGGACTCGAGCCCTTCTCCGAGAACGTCTCGGGCGACGGGGGCCTCCGGGGTCCCGCGACCGTGCGGTGACGGACCGTGCGGTGAAGTCTTGGGAGATTTCGAGGTCACCGCACGGTCCGTTACCGCGCCGTTTCGGGGCCCCCAAGGCGAGCGCCGCGGAGACGGAGATCGAGACCGAGCTGGAGGTGGCGGCGGCCGCTGCGATGATCATCCGGGCCAAGAACCAGCGGGCCAACGAGTCTGGGTTTTCGCTGGCGCAGCTTGTGCTGAGAAGGCCCCAGCAGCTGCCGCGGGGATTGCGCGGCGCCCGCGGGCGTTCTCAGCTCGCGGCGCGCGACGCCGTGGACAACGACCCCTACGCGACGAAGCGACTGCAGATCTACGGCGCGGCGAAGGTGGCGATGGAAAAGCTGGGCGCCAGCAAGCGACGGCGTCGAGCCCTTGTTGCTCGCGGCCGCCGGACGCCACCCAGCGCGAACGCGAAGCTAGGCGACGCGGTCTACTTCTACCGCGAGGGCAAGCGCGAGAACCGGCGGAGGAAGGGCCCGTCGATAATCTATAAGGCCAGGCATGGACCATCTGCCACGGGGGAAGCGCTGCACGACACGCGACGAGGAGCTCGACGTGGAGGGCGCGACCAAGGCATGCGAGAAAGAAGGCGAATCTGACCAGGCCGACGACGGTGAAACCGAGGCGCCAGGGGCGATCGCTCGGCCTTCACTGGCTGAGAAAGCTGCGGAGGATCGCATGGACCTGGAGAGGATGCAGGGCCAGCTGACCGAGGGCACCGCGGCAGGCACGACTGCTGCCGCGGCCGGTGCCGCGGGCGACGGCGAGGTTGATCCGACGTCGAGCGCTGAATTCTCAAGGGGAACAAGTTCTCGGCAGAGTGGGGAGACCGACTTCCCGCGGGAGGTCGCGCAGCGGCCGCTGCGAGACCGCGGCGATGACCCAGACATGACTAGGGCGGCGCGCGTCGCTAAGACCATCCAGATGCGTGCGAGCGAAGCGAGAGAGCGACCCGGGACTTCGACAGCTCGACCTGCGCCGGTGGCGAACGTTATCCCCGAGGGCCAGTTCGGGTCCTGCAACGATTTCGCGCCGAGCACGCCTCCCCTCGAGAAGGTTGAGGCGGCCCAGGTGCTGGCGATGGAACCTCCGCAGCCCGCGCAGGAGGAGCCTCGGCAAGGGCGAAAGTGCGACGTGGGGGAGGCCGCGCTGCCAGAGGCGCCATCTCGTGGCGGACGGGACGGACCGCCAGAACCGCAGCACCCCGACGAGGTGATGCGGGTCAAAGCCGTGCCAAAGAGAGCCGCGGCATGGCTCGAAGGGGTTCCCGAGGCGGACCGGCGACGATTTCTGGATCACTTGGAGACAGCGCCGGCTGGCGACCCCAAGTTCGAGACAATGCTCGCGCAGGGGCGCGCTCGGAAGGAGAAGGTCTGGAGTCGGGTGGGCCGCGAACTGCGAGGAAGCGGCAGCGTCGCAGTGGGCGAAGTGGATCGACGCCGAGTCCGCGGAGGTGCTGCTGCAGAAGAAGTCCGCCGCGATCGAGGAGTCGATGAAGCGCGAGGGCAGAGGCGACCACGTCGCGAGCGCGCGGTGGGTGCTGGCGGACAAGAGTGACCCGATGAGGACGGATGCAAACGACTTGCCGCTGAAAGCTCACGCGAGGCTCGCGGTCAGCAGCGGCGACCCGGGCAGATCTGACGGGAAGTCGAACGCGCGGGTGGATGCTCCATGCGCCGCGACGCAGTCGGAGATGATTGCGGCGCAAGTGGCGGCGTCGCACCCGGGGCGGGAGTTCGGATCCAAGGATGTGGGCGGTGCTTTCCTGAAGGGCGAGGTGGGCCAGCGCGGCCCGGTGATGCGCGCCCCCTGCATGGGCCCGCGCTCGCTGATTCCCCGCGAGGTCGCCTTGCGAGAGCGCGGAAGGGCGTGTTCGGGCCCCCGACGGCGCCGAGGCTGTGGTATCTGAATGTGCTTTCAGTGGCTCGCAAGCTGGGACTAGAGGCCGCTCGTTCGGACCCCGCCTTCATAGTGTTGCACGACGGGAAGGCGAAGAAGCGAGTGCCTGACAGCCTGTGGGGATGCGTCTGCATTCACGTGGGCGACTTCCTCTTGACGGGCAGCGACAAGATGGCGAAGGTGATGGGCGCGTTGGGCATGCAGTTCGGGTTCGGAAGTGAGGAAGACGACGACTTCGCGCGCTGCGGCCGGCGTTTCAAGCGGCAGCCTTGCGGAGCCATCCACATTTGCACGATGGAACACGCGGCCGGACAGGGGCCTGTGACTGCGCCCAGGAGCCGACGAGCAGCGGCGCATGTGCCCATGAACGCGATGGAATGGAAGCAGTGCTAGCAGGTCGTCGGCAAGATCAGCTGGGCCGTGACCAAGCTGCGCGTGGGGCCGAGAGTTTCGGCGCTGATCAAGGCGAACCTAGCGCTGAGGGAGCTGAAGCGCGACGCGACGCTCAAGATCGCGATGCGGCCGATCGACATCGAGAGGTTTGGCCTCGTGGCGGCCTCGGACAGCTCTTTGGGCAACGTGATGAAGCACGGGGCGGCGCTGCAGTCGGGCCCAGCGACGGAGGAGATCGGGGCCCTGGGCGGCTACCTGATCTCGCGCGCAGACAAGGAGCTCGTGGACGGAGGCGCGGGGCGGTTTTCATTGCTGGAGGGCAAGCGCCACGAGCTGACGAGAGCGGCGAGAAGCTCAAACTCGGCGGAGGTGATTTGCAGTTGGAGATGCAGTGGACGGGGCTCAAGGATTACGTGACCAGATGGCGGTGATGATCAACGGCCCCCAGGCTAGGGGCGCAAGTATTAGACTGTCCGGCTGGCAGATTCCAATGACGGTGGTGACGGACTCCAAGGACGGTCATGACAGGCTCGATTTGGATGCGGGCGTTGGCAATTCAGCACGGAAGTCGGTGAATTTGGAGTTGGCGATTATCCGTGCGATTCAGGACTGGCCTCAGACCATGGTAAGGTGGACAGATGGAAGCAACATGCTGGGTGACGCGCTGACCAAGGAGATGCCCGCAGACTATCTGTGGGAGGCGCCGGAGCGCGGCACCTGGAGCATCGAGTTCAGGGCCGAGATGGCGAAGGACATCGAGGCGCGTGGCTCAAGGGCGCTGGGGGGCACGCGTGAAGGAGCTGGCCAAAAACGGGAAGTTCACGCCAGGAGCTCTGGAGGCGCAGCCCGGCGTTGGAACGCGCGAGAGGCCTGCCGTGAGAGGGAAGAACATAGTTTGCTGTGAGGAGAGACAGTGCTAGCTGCTGAGGTTAAGATGATGATGATGATGATGATGATGGTGATGGTGATGGGATGATGATGATGATGATGAGTGATGATTGCTAGCGTTTTGATTATGGCCACACGTATATATATATATATATATGTATGTGTGTATATGTGGGTCGCTCCCGCCGTCTGTATGCGCGCGTCAATACATATCCCATGTACTATGGAAACTCGTTTTGGATTTGTCAGTTGAGCGTGCTCAGATCCACAAAGTTTGACTATCCGTGTGGAAACCGACGGGTTCTTAGTGGATCCGTCCCCTGCTCACTCCCTTGTCGTGCCCTGCCCCCTCCTGTTCCCCTCTCGCCTGCTGCTGCTGGCTCGGCCCAAGCCGGGTTGAAAGCATGTTGGCATCGGACGTGGACGCCGTGGGCCTAAAAGTGGGCCCTCTAGCTCCAGAGCCCTGGCGGGTTCCGGCGCCGGACCCCGTTGCGGTTCCGGGGGGGCAACGGCCCAAACTTCCCCGGTTCCGCAGGGGGGGGCGGGGGACATGGAAACAAAAACACATGTGCAGCCCGTGCCCCCCCAAATCCGAGATTCGGGTCTTCGGGATGGGTTGGGTTGGTCTGGTAGGTAGTCGTCAGGGCAGAAGCACCTAGAGTGGAGACCCATGCCAAGGAACACCTTGCTTGCCTCCATGGCGTCGTTGGTTCCTTGGGTTTCGATGGTTGCGCCCGCAGGAGAACCGCAACCTCCGCAGGATGGTGGGCCACGCGATGGGCGTCGAGGCCCAGCTCGAGGAGGACTCGACCTCCTCCCCCTCCTCCTCCTCCTTCCTCCTCCTCCTCCTCCTCCTCCTCTCCCCTCCTCCTCCTCCTCCTCCTCCTCCTCCTCCTCCTCTCCTCTCCTCCTCCTCCTCCCTCCCTCCTCCGCCTCCTCCTTCCTCCTCCTCCTCCTCCTCCTTCTCTCTCTTCCTCCTTCCTTAATCCTCCTCTCCCCTCCTCCTCCTCCTCCTCCTCCTCCTCGTCCTCCTCCTCCTCCTCCCCCTCCTCTCCTCCTCCTCCTCCTCCTCCCCTCCTCCTCTGCTCCTCCTTCTCCTCCTCCGGCTTCTCATCCTCCTCCTCCTCCTCCTCCTTTCCTCCTCCTCCTCCCTTTCCTCCTCCTCCTCCTCCTCCTCCTCCTCCCCCCCTGATCCTCCTCCTCCTCCTCCTCCTCCTCCTCCTCCTCCTCCCTCTCCTCCCCTCCTCCTCCTCCTCCTCCTCCTCCTCCTCCTCCTCCTCCTCCTCCTCCTCCTCCTCCTCCTCCTCCTCCTCCTCCCCCTCCGCCTCCTCAACCGCCGCCCCCCCGCCCTCCTCTTCTTCTTTTTCTTCCTCCTCCTCCTCCTCCTCCGCCTCCTCCTCCTCCTTCTCCTCCTCCTCGTCACCCTTCCCCCCCGTCTGGGCGGGGGGCGAGGGGGGGAAGTGAGAAGGAAAAGGCTTTCTCAGAAGGCGGCGCGACTTTTCAGATGCCCTCGCGCCTGCTGAGAAGTGGTTTCTGTCTTCGGGGAAGGTTTAGAGAACTTATCAGAAGGCTGGGGGACTTTCGAGCCTTCTGAGAAGGCCCGCCCTTTCTCACCCCCCCCCCGCGCTCGCCGCCAAAGGACGGCCGTGCCGCCGGGAGGGAGCTCGCCGCGATGCAGGAGCGCCGGGAGTCCCAGAAAGGGCGCGGCGACCACGTGCCGTCGGGTGAGGCAGAGGGGATTCGGGTTGGGAGCGCGCGGTTCGTGGGAGCCAGCTCTCTGACGACATATGTCGGTTTCAATCCGGCGTGTTTCTTCGAAGTGTTGACGTGAGGCCCCTCCTTCTGCCTTCCCCCCTCTGTCAATTAAAGCTTTGCGCGGCCCGCTTAGCTTCGACCGGAAGAGGTGCGCTCTCGACCCGCGGATCAAAAAGTGTCTTCGAAGTCGGCCTCTGGGGTCTGGGGCTTGTGATCGGCCCCGGGACAGACCCAATTGGGTCTGGGCGCGCCGTCGGCGTGGAGCTCGCCGCGACGCAGGAACATATCGGAAATCCCAAAAACAATCCGGCGACCACACTGACGGGCCTGTTTTCCGCCACCACTGCCAAAGGTGGGACGTGGGAGAAGGGGGGAAGGGGGGAAGGGGAGGTCTTCCTCCTCCTCCTCCTCCTCCTCCTCCTCCTCCTCCTTCCATCCCCCCCCCTCCCTCTCCTACCTATGGTAGCGCTGGTGGGAGATCGGCACATCACACACCGTAGATCGGCCCAACACACCGTCGGGTGAGGCAGGGAGGATTCCCAGATTTCCGACGACCTGAATTTCCAATCCCAGCGCTTTTCGTAGCCTCGGCCTCTGGGTTTCTTTTTCAGGCCCTGGGACCATCAACGGTCGCCCAGGGGCCAACACCTTTCAGCCACGCGCAGAGGGGTATATGGGGAGGGGGGCAGGCCTCTTAGAAGCACCCCTGCATCTTAGAAGCCTCCCCCCCTCCCCCATGTGCCCCCCTCTGCGCGTCGCCAAACCTTCACCGAAGGGGGCGGGACTTCTGGGGCAGCGGAAGTTCCAGCACTGTTCCAGGGGAGCAAAAAAATGCATAAACATAACAACTCGGAGGTCCGCGCGGATTTCTCGGATCGGCGCTGGGGCCCCCTCCCTGGCGCGCGGAGCGCGCCAGGGGCGGCGCCGGAGGCGCCGCCGGGGGGCCCCAGCAACGTAAGGAAGGTAAGAGTGTGAACGTTCGAGGAAGTCCGAAGCGAAAGCGCCGTTCCTGAAGGAAGTCTCGGGCGGGAGCCCACGACGGCCGTGCGATCCCCTGACGGGCGGGTCGGGCGGGTGGGACATTCAAGCGGGATGCTTGAGCATGGCGAAAGCGCGCTTACTACGTAAATTGTAACAGCGTCCTTGGCGCAGCGTGTTTCCTGAGCGTCGACAGCGCGATTTCTAAATATAATGCATGGAGGTCGCAGGCGAAATCGCAATTCCTGAATAAAATGTGGAGGGTTCTCAAGCGGGAGCGGGGGTCTGGACTAAATTGCGAGAGCGTCTTGACTCAATTGCGAGAAATTCTGAAGCGGGAGCGCCGTTCCTGAGTAAATTGTGAGGACGGCTCAAATGGGAGCGGGGGTCCTGACTAAACTGCGAGGAAGTCAGAGGCGGGAGCACCGATCCTGAGTAAATGTGAGGAAGTCTCAGGAGCGGGGGTCCTGGGCAAATTCGGAGGAAGTCTCAGGCGGGAGAGTCGTTGTGGTTGTTGTTGTTGTTGTTGTTGTTGTTGTTGTTGTTGTTGCTGTTGTAATCGGGGGGGCCAGGGGCACAGTTTGAGCACCAAGGCTTTCCCTGTCAAATACAGGGTGCGAGCGTCGAGGCGCACACCTTGAATGAGAAAAGCAAGTGTGCACCGGTGAGGGGGGATCAACAATAATTATTCTTCAGAAGTGAGAACTCAACAACAGCAGCAGCAACAACAACAATCATTCTAAGACTGTTCGCTCCTACTTGCCCGTGTGTCATTCAAAACGAGTTCCCCACACCCTCGATACACGCATATTTTGTCTTCGATCACGCCCCTTTTTGGGGGGTATTTCTCTTTGCGGGGGGCGGCGGGCTTAGACAGGCGGGCAAACCTGAACGGGCGGACAATCCTTCGTGGGCGTACGTGTGCCCGCCATTGGAATTGGTGTGGGCCCTGCAAAAAGAGGAGGGGGAGAACGAGGGAGACTGGGAGCAAGGGAGGGGGAGGGACGAAGGAAGAGGGAAAGCGCCAGGAGAGAACGAGCGAAGAGGGGAGCGGTTGATTAGAGGCAGAGAAAGAGAAAAAGAGAGAGAGAGAGAGAAATAGAAAGAACAGATAAGAGAGGTAGAGAGAGAGAGGGGAGAGAGATAGACAGAAAAAGGGAGGGAGATGGCAGGAGAGGGGAGGTAGAAGGGAGCAGGGAGAGGAAGGAGAGGGGATAGGGCAGAGAGGCATAGGAGGGAGACAGAAGGAAGGAAAAGAGGGAGGAGGGAGGAGGGAGAGGGAGGATGAGCAGGAAAGTCAGAGCGTGAACGTTCGAGGAAGTCCGAAGCGAAAGCGCCGTTCCTGAAGGAAGTCTCGGGCGGGAGCGGGGGTCTTGAGTGAACTTGCCAGGAAGCCTTGATTCAATTGCGAGAAAGTCTGAAGCGAAAACGCCGTTCCTGAGTAAATTGTGAGGACGGCTCAGATGGGAGCGGGGGTCCTGACTAAATTGCGAGGGAATCACAAGCGGGAGCACCAATCCTGAGTAAATTGTGAGGAAGTCTCAGGAGCGGGGGTCCTGAGTAAATTTGGAGGAAGTCTCAGGCAGGAGCCGTTGTTGAACATTATTTATTCTAAAGAATAATTATTGTTGGGGCCCCTGGTGCGCGACCCCCTCGCCGCGCCTAGGCCGCAGCCACGTTTTCATCATTTTCGTGAGGAAGCCTCAGGTAAAACGATGTCATCCAGATCCGGTTGTTTTGTTGACGCCCGCTTTCCCTTGCAAAAAACACTATAAAATGAAATTTCTTGTTCTAACATATCCAAACTTCAAGAATCCCTTGCAAAAAATAAGGTAAAGTGGACATTCGCGCGCGCAAGACGAAATCCTTCCAAAACCTTAGTTTTCGTAGCGATTTTAACATAAAAACATCAAAAAACCAATAGTTTTTCAAAAAAAAATTGTCGAAAGTTCATCCCGCGCGCTCTTGCGGATTCGTAGGAAACCCAACACTTTTTAAACATTTCTGTCAAACGGGCTTTTGCGAGCAACTTTTTCGAACTTCTGCAACAACGGTTGCGCACCTGCCAGGGCCATCATCCCTGTCAAATAATACCATGCGGGACACATTCGTTTTTTCTTCGCGCGCGCACGCCGTCGTCGTCGGCCGCGGGGCCCTGAATAGTAGCCACGGTCGTCCGCATGCCACGAAGTGAAGTGTCCGAACGTCATAGGGCGGGAAGCTGGGTGTGGGTGGTGGCGAAGAGTCGTTTGGAAATTTGGTAGAGCTTGAACCGGCCCCCCCACAAAGTGGGGGTATTGCCCGCCTCCTATGAAAACCCTGGCACTGGTGAGAACGGAGTGTCCCCAGTCTTAAATGATTGTTGTTGTTGTTGTTGTTGTTGTAATCGGGGGGGCCAGGGGCACAGTTTGAGTACAAGATTTCCCCGGTCAGAAAAACAGGGTGCGAGCGTCGAGGGGCACACCTTGATTGTGAAAAATAATATGCACCGGTGGGGGGGTCAACAATAAGTATTCTTCAGAAATGAAAATTGAACAACAAACACAACAACAATAATAACAACAATCATTTTAAGACTGTTCGCCCTTATCTGCTCGAGTGTCCCCTAACGCGTATTGCCCAAACCCCCGATACCCGCCCTCTTCGTCTTCGATCGAATCCCTTTTGAGGGGTATACCATTATTCCTTGCAGGCCGGGCCCCGGCAAGCGGAGGGGCGGCCGCTGACCGTCGGTCTGGCCAGCGGCAGCGCTGATCGGCGGGGCGGGCCGCGGACCGTCGACCCGACCCCAAGAGGGACGGACAGGGGACTGACCACAACGACGACGACGACGTCGACGACGACGTCGACGACGACGCCGACGGCAACGACGACGACGAGCGAAAGCGAGAGCGAGAGAGAACGACAACAGGGCTACGAAGGACACGAAGTAGGCCACGAAGGGCGACAGCGGCGACACGAAGGGAATGCGTATGGGGCCACGAAGAGCGCGAACGAGCGGGGGCCACGAAGGGCAGATAATGCGGGGCCACAGGAGGCAACGAGGGGGCCACTGAGGGTAGCAATTGGGCCACGTAGGACAGTGAGGGGGCCACAAAGGGGCCACGAAGGGCATGCACATGGGGCCACAACGGGCGCGACTCCTGGGTGCCTGGGTGTCAGGAGCGCGGCGCTTGAGCAAATTGCAGGAAACTCCAACGCAAGGGCGTTATTTTTCAGTAAATTGCTAGCAAGTCTCCAGCGAGAGCGCGACTCCAGAGCGCCACGACTGCGGTTCCTGAAGAAAATAGAAGTAAGTCCCAAGCGAGAGCGCGATTCCTGTTTAAAATGCGAGGAAGTCTCGGGCGAGAGCGGGGGTCCTGGTTAAATTGTGAGGAAGTCTCAAGCGGGAACCGTTGTTGTTGTAACCCAGGGGCCAGGGGCCCAGTTTGAACACCAAGACTTACAACAGGGTGCGAGCGTCGAGGGGCACATTTTGATTGAGAAAAAACCGTATGCACTGGTGGGGGGCTCAACAATAATTATTCTGCAGAAACGAGAGTTCAACAATACCAGTAGCAACAACACCAACAAAAACAGCTTTCACAACAACACCAACAACGCAACAAACATAATCTTCACGCCGAAGTGGGGACCCATGATGGAACTTATGTCTGTTGCGCTGTTGTTGTTGATGCTGTTGTTGGTGGTGTTGTTGTTATTGATATGGTTGTTGTTACTATTGCTGTTGTCATTATTGTTGTTGTTGTTGTCATTGTTGTTGTTGCTTGTTGACCAACCCCGTGACCCGCCCCGTGACCCACCCCGCGACCCACCCGCGACCCACCACGCGACCCGCCCGCGACCCAACCCGCGACCCACCCGCGACCCACCCCGCGACCCACCCGCGAGCCACCAACGACCCACCCGCGACCCACCCCGCGACCCATCCGCGACCCACCCGCGACCC